AATACATACATATGTAGGTATGTATGTATTAAAATTTAATTTCTAAAATTATTGTCGCATAAATAGAAATGATTACAATATTATTTTGATTCCGAAAAACAATGAAATTGGGAGTATATGGAAGCCTAATTTAAAGTCTAAATTTTCAAATAATGTGGGTCATTTGGAAAAATAGGTATATCTAGCTTATCTAACGTTCAAAGTATATATTAGCCGTCATCGATTCGCCAACAGTTAGTTAGTGGCGAAACGAACGAACTCAATGTGGTACAACCAAACAAAAAAACAACTCGCTAGCTAACTTTGTTGTTGCTTTCAGATGCAAAATTTTTCGCTTAGCGACCGGAACTCAAACATAGCGGACAGAGAAGTGGCGAATCGATAACGGTTGTTCATAATTTGCATAAATGCTTCTTTCAATTGAATGCCTTTTCAGTTTTCAAGCTTAAAGAAAAATTTTTTTTTAATAATAATTGCAAGGTTTGAGTACTACACGTACATACATAAATAAAATGATTACATGAGAGTTTGCTTTGCAAAATATCCTTAGAACTTATGATTTGTATTACTATGTATATCATTGATTTTCGTAATAAAATTCAATATCCGCAATTACGAGTATGTACCATAATTCTATAGAAAAGATCTTACGAACAAAATTTGGCCACATACAAATTTTGAAATCTAGATATAACATGCTCTTAAGTGTGACATTTTTCTTTTTCACGTTTAAATTAAATGCATTCATTAAGTGTAAGACTTAAAGCAATTTAAAATTTTTTCTGAAATATATAGTACACGCATCAATATGTTCAAAGTACATTGAAAATTCGTATAAACTTATAGTGAATCTCACTCTTAAAAATACTACAACTTCTTTAAATTGTTATAATTGTGCGCTACTGCATTAATTGCTGAGCAACGTCTACAGCGTTTTCAACTTCTGCCCCCGCATCATACTTCTGCACCGCATCATCGGTACATTCTTCGGTAATCTGTTGTCAATCGTTGTACATGCCATCGACCAAGAAATCCATTCGGCGATAATGTCGCGTTGACCAACAATCGCGGAAGCGACGGTAAGTGGTAATTACCACTCCTATTGCCAATGGTATTGTGAAGAGGACTGTCATAATAGGTACAATAATATCGCGGCTGCTGTGATAATTGAATCCGTTGTTTAATTCTTGTGATGGCTGCGCATCTGGTAGTACGACGGGCTCGCTTAATTCTGGTAATTTAGAGCTAGATGATTCTGGCTTTTTATTGTTAACAAATGGTTCTCCTGGCAAATGTGGAAAATCGCCTAATCCAAATGTTATGCTTGGTTTTTTGGGTTTCGGTGTGGTAGTGGTTGTTGTTGTTGTTGGTTTTGTTTTGGTCGTTGTTGGCATTATTTTGGTCGTAGTTGTAGTGTTTGTGATTGTGCTTTTTGTAGATCTTACTTCGAGGGAATCATTACCAATATGCGCAACAACATCATTTTTGGCAACTGCGGGTGCAAGTGTAGTTGTTACAGTTTTGTTTACTACGCTTGTTGAATTCCAAGATTTTGTGGAATTTATGGAAATGCCTTCATTGGTATAGTTTTGATTACCTGTAGTAATGTTGTCACTTTTAGTGGCATTATACTTAATTGAATTTGATCTATTAGATTGAAGGGTATTCATATCTACAACTATACTTGGTGCGATCTCAACTAAATTTGGACCGGTTTGATTGGAATTTATTGATGATCCTGGTGCAACAATATCTCCCTTTAAGGAGTCTTGCATTTCTGTCGGTTT